CATAATTTTTCATTTGGCGCACCAGCGAAATGTTAATAGTCGACGCCAATGAATGGGCTCAAAAAATAAAAAGGCGTACCTAAAAACAAAGGGGGATAATTAATAAAGGTAAAGATAAAATGTAAGCAAAAAAAGATCTTTAAATCAAATTGTAATAATATAAATAATACCATATATATATTATATAAACTATCACCATTTTTAGAAACCATAATAAGCAAATCATTATTTTTTCATGGTTCTGAAATAGCATTAAATTGTCAGTCTTATATTTTAGATGGCCCTGCAATTTTGTGCAAAGTATACAGTTTTAAACTACATTTTTACTACTGACATTTGGTTAAATATTTTTTAAATTTTAAATTTAATTTTTTGCTTTTTAAAAAATGGCGATACTTGTGGAAAACTATCCCTTTTATGGACGCCTCTGACCCATCAACTAAATACGGAGCCAAAGCGATCTATCTAACCGACCTGACTGGCATTTGTTTGGGCGTTTCGATATTTCTTGTGTCCGTCGCTGTGGTTTATGTAAAGTTAAAGTGAAAAATTTACATAAATTACAACAAAAGCGGAGGGAGAGAGAGATAGAGATAGAGACGCCAGTCGGGCGAATGTGGATTTTCGAGGCGCCAAAGCAATCGGCTGAATAATAATCAATATAATAATGGGCCGCGGCTAAACAGCGGCCAATAAGCTTCTGATTTGTGCGCCTTATGCAAATTCATTACCAATAATCGTAAATAATGAGACCACGAGCAGATCGTTCCGACGCGGGGAGTATTGGCCCCATTTCGCAGATCTCTTGGATCGTTTTGTGTGTGATTTCCTTGGAGATTTGTTCCCCGAGTTTCCATCTTTCCATCTTGCCATCTTGCCATCGTACCAACTTGCCGTCTTCAATCTTCTGCAACTTCACCCATCTTTCAGTTGCTTCGTTTAATTTGCCTCTCCGGCTCTCCGATTGTGTGTAGAATATCAATTACTTATGCTAAACACCTGCTGCATCGGAATGTCTGGCGGGCCAAGTGCAGCGCACTCCTCTAAACCGGGCCTAAACACACACCAATACAGGAAAGCAGCAGCACACCGACACAATCACACAATCACACACGTGCAGTCGCGTTTGTGCCTTAAGTCTTTCGTTATTTCTCCCTCTTGCCAGTTTTTTTTTTTAATGGCCTTGCCAGCGAGCAGGCGTCAATGGGTTAACTTGAATATGTCATCAGCAATGCGACAGTTGATAGGGAGTTGTTCTCAATGGTCGCTGGCCATTTAAGATTTTTTCCATTTATAGTTTGTTTTTATTTTTTAAAATACTGCATATATAAATACGTTAAATTGTAGTAAATACATGGTAAAAAAATATAAATTCTTATTTGTCGATATGAAAATGACCGCTTAACCAGCTACAAAATGTATTGATTATCGTTATGTAAAATTTTAGTATTTTTTAAAATCAATATCCAAATAAGTACAATGAAAATGCAGCATAAAACTGAAGGTTATGCAAATTGCTTTAAACGCGAAATGAAAAAGTTGTTCTTCAGCTTATGAATGCCTGTAATCATTGCAAGTATTTCTTAGTAGCTGTCTCGCTTAAAAACCTAGTAAGGGCATCCAGCATTCGAGTAGCCCCTTTCAATTTGTGATTTCTTGTTGGTTTCTTGCGCTTGGCCATTCAGTTCGCATCAACACGCCGTTTTGTGTAAAGCAGACCCAGCCCCAAACCTCGACTTCGTGATCGGGGCTCCTCATCGATTTGGCTTTTATTTTTATTCTTATTTTTAGCTTGCATTCCCCCAATGATTTTTGCGTCATATCCATACGCGCTCTTTGCAATGGCTGAAAAACAAAAAGATAACTTGTTACAATTAATTAACTGCTGCATCAATTAAATATTTATTCGCTCCATTTCTCTGGTGCGGCGCCTTCGATTCTCCAAGGAATCGGTCCTCAAAATAAGTATAAATATCAATATATGCGATCATAATCCGCGGATCGATAAAAACCCAATTAATGGCCGCTCATAAAGGAAAGACGAACAGCTGGCGGTGGAGACCACCGAAAAGCCAGGAGGTGTCGAGGATGCTCCCGAAGAAGGTCTTCAGCAGAAGGTACTTGCACCCATTAAGTTCCCTTTTTACGATCCAATCCGAGATCACTTCTGCGCACAAGGAAAACCTATTTAATTGTCAGATCGACATGGATAGTTTACGATGCCGAAAGGGGCACTTGATGCGATATTATATCAAGCGTGCCTGGGGTTTTTTATGCCCTTAAATCAAATCAGAAATATTTAAGGCCACTCACATAATAATATCACTTTATTGGAGAAATTTAACAGTCCAATTGGTAGTGTATAGTATATATAACTACAATATCTAACCATAATGACCATAGACCTTTTTATACATTTAAGAATAGCTTGTTGCGGTGGTTTTTATATTTCTGTAACCTCATACCTATACAAAACCTGTCACATTTAATTAATATTTTAGTATTTGATATGATTTATTCTAAAATTTATTAGGGACTTTCTTCAAACAAAGTCAGAAAACTTAAATTGTCATATACTTGGCTAAATGACATATTAATTAACCGACTTTGTGCGGTAACTTCATTAACGTGAACTGGGGAATCAGTGGGGTAATTTGGGAGAAGGCAGACCTCATAAAGTGTAATTACACCCGGTGTAATTGTGAAATCTCTTCGCCCAAAATCAGACCGAGCATTTTATGTGATTTGTCGGGAAAGAAACCGAAAATCCACAGCCCAAAACAAAACCAAAACAAATAGAATAAAGTTCTCACAATTAAAATGGGCTTAAATTAAAAAGCACTTTAACAGCTTCACACCGACCGAATGCTTTGGGGGCACTGTGGGGTTAACTGTAGCGGACGTGCCCCACAAACAAATGCCTTATAATTGATATTCTAAAAACGGATAAACATCTGAGTGAAGTGAAGCCTTCACTCTATTCCACTGACTGATAGCCGAAGTTTGAAAGTCGGCCAAGGCGTCGTCATCATCATTATAATGAAATTGCCAAAGAAGTTAACTGCCAGCGGATTCCGAAATAAATCGACTGGCGATGGGCACGTGATGGGGTTAAAGTTTCCCAGCTCAATTTTAGTCCTATGTAAATGAAGCAGGACGAAAAACCTGTTGGAAAAAGTTGAAGATACGGGAGATTGAACATTAAGTAAGAGAGAGGTCTGGAAAATTAATTAGGGCCATAGCATACCAGCCATCGCAGAGAGAATTTCAAATTAGTTATTTGGCTTTTAAAATATTTCGAGAAGCTAGTCCTTTTCTACAAACATAGTTTCTCACAATTATAGTTGAATTTAAGTCCTTAAAATTGTTGTGTTGACATTCAGGTATTGAAAATATCAATTTTAGTTAACTCACTATCGGTGGTCTTGGAAAAATAGTCATTTAAAAAGCAATCTATATTTTGATTTATTGTTAGCCTTTGTAAGCTAATTATTGGATTACACAATTTTATATTGGTTATCAATACTTTTAAAACCGTGTCACGGTTTCATCGCAAGTTCTCGATTTTCACTTGCGCAAATTTGTTGTATTTGGCTTTTTTTTTCGCTCTTCTCTGTTTTTTTTTTTTTTTTTTGTGCTACCGTGTGCCTAGATTTGCTCGTCAGTAATTGCCACCAGTAGATGAGCAAGAAGCGGCACTAGATGGCAGCGGCGATGGGGAAGAGGAAGATGGAGAAAGAGAAGAGGAAGCTGGAGATGGAGAAGTGACGGTGATGGAGAAGACGTGCGGCAACTCAATTTCGCCTTCAGTTTCGCAGTTCTGCAGTCCTCCGGTTTTGCTTACCCAATTTAAAATTAACATGTCCAGGCAACCTGAACAACTGGTCTGCATATGCAAAAAAAATTGTATTTATACACTGAGAAGAAAATAAACATCTTATTATCCTTGTCTCTCGAGAAGCAGTTTTTATTAATGTTCACAGGCTCATTTCAATTTTTGCCCGAGAACAAAAATGTATTCCCGATCGAATTACACTTTATAAATCATTGAAATTATGGCCATATATATCTGTATTTGAAAATACGAATTATATTTCGATACACTCAGTGTTATAAATTATCTTCGCGTATGTTATCATTATGAATTATATATCAATGTCTGCGAAAAAAAAAAAATAAGATCCAGTGCTTTTATCGAGGCACCCAGAAATAAACCTTAAAAAGTAATTAGAAATGTTTGTTTTTGGTTTACTTTAAAAATCATATCGAGAGGCATACAAATTTCGCTCGGTGTACATATGTGTTTAAGATGCTGTGCGAGAGATTCAAGTCACAGAGGAAAAAATAAAAAGGAGGAGCGTGCGTGAGCATCGTCAGCCGGGCTTCATTTTCCATCTTCCTGACAGGTGCTGCATGGATATTCCCCTGCTCCCCGTTTTTATTGTTGTCAATTTGGTGGCGATTACAGTGTGTGTGTATGTGTGAGCCAGGGGCGTGGCTGGGGGCGGTAAAGGGGGTTCTCGCAGGGGGTGTCCAGGGGGTCGTTGAGATTGTTTACATTTTACCTGGGCGGGGCTCTAATGAGAGCAGCAGCCCGTCTATGCGAAAAATGCTCATTCGCTGATTCTTTCAGAAGTAGAACTTAGAATATTCTTAAACATTATTTGAAGGCTTAAATAATATTATTGTTATAGTCACCTCAAGGTTGAAAACAGAGAGAACAACTCATAGTTATTCGAAAGCAACAACATTTATAAATTTCGTTTCTTTTGTAGCTAGCGTTTAAAATGTAAATAATGTAGAAACAGACGGATAGACGGACATGGCTATATCAGATGGCCTGGTGGTACTGATCAAGACTATATACACTACAACGTAACAAACCTTTAGAGAATATGATTCCCAATAAAAACAAACTAATACCAGACACCATTAAGAGTACAATACAGATTTAGTATTTGGTTTTAATATTCAAATATTTTAAATTTAAACCGAGCGGCTCATAAGGACTTGGGCCTTATCATCATCTCAACAAAGGTAAGTGAAATACTCCAGTCGTTTTTTTGAAATGAGGCCCAATGAATTCCGTCATCACCTTTGCCATCTTTGTAGTATTTTGCATTGAGCTTACTGTAATTTTAAGTGATTAGAGTAAGAAGATTTAATAAGAGCATAAATAAACAGGTATACCTGTTTGAACAGTTTTTGTTCCACCATGCACCGAATTCATTGGCACAATTCATAGAAGCAGAGTCATTATCACGATCAATTGTGGAGAACTTTTGGTTCTTATTGAATGTAAGGGAGTCTCCAGCTTCACCAGAATATTTCCCTAGATTCTTCAACTCGTACAATTCCTCCTCACTTCCAATCTTAAAGTCATCGTATTGAGCGTAGCTGGTGGATCCATCAACCATCCCAAGTTTAATGTAGAGTTCGTGGGGTCGTTCTTCAGTCATCCGATGCAATTTTTCCAGCCCGATGAAGAATTCTCCACTGACATTCCCAAATCCAGATTTATAGTCATTCCAGGTTCTATTGAAGTTCTCGGATCCGTCAATGCGTCTCTGAATTACAGTCCAACCAGGCGGAGACGTCGCACATGACACTTTAAAGGGTTCAAGATCCCGAACCTTAATTTGGTAAATGAAATTGGTACTGCCATTGGGACAAGAGTCAGGTAAATTGTCATTATATTTCTGCAATTCAGAAAGCTGACTAGATAGTTCTGATTTTGTTTTCTCAATAGCTTTTATTTGAGTAGTAAGGGTCAAGATATGTTCATCTCTATTTTTAAGGTGCTCCTCTTTCACCTTTAAAATATCTTCTTTGCTTTTGATTTGACCTTCGGATATTTTTAACTTACTCTGTAAGTCTTTTATATTATCTTTCAATGTATTTAATTGGATTTTCAGTTCATCGTTGGCATCGGCTGTTACTTTCATCTGTAATATAAAACAGGCGATAAAATAAAAATCATTTCATTCGTTTTCAATATTCTAATTAGTTGGTTACTGCAGTAAATCTTAAATGAGCACCAAAAAGTTGATGTTCTGATGAAACAATGTAAAAATTTTAAAATAAAATGGCAGCGTCAATTTAAACAGTAATGTTTAAGGGGCTGAACAAATTATTCTTTACTATTGTGCTTTTTATACCCGTTACTCGTAGAGTAAAAGGGTATATTGTATTCGTGCAAAAGTATGTAACAGCTAGAAGGAAGCGTTTCCGACCCTATAAAGTATATATATTCTTGATCAGGGTCACTAGCCGAGTCGATATAGCCATGTCCGTCTGTCCGTCTGTCCGTCTGTCTGTCCGTCTGTCTGTCTGTCTGTCTGTCTGTCTGTCTGTCTGTCTGTCTGTCCGTATGAACGCTGAGATCTCGGAAACTATAAAAGCTAGAAGATTGGCATTTTGCATGCAGATTCTAGGAGTTCCTACGCAGCGCAAGTTTGTTTCAAAAATGTGCCACGCCTTCTTTAACGCCCACAATCGCTTATATACGATTTTAAAAATTTAAATATTTCGGAAAAGTAAAAATGCAGTTTTATTGTGTTTATCAATACCTATCGAAATGTAGAAGAAATTTTTCAAATCGGACCATTCGTTAAAAAGTTATGCGTGATCAAAGTTTCTATCTCCATCTCCCTCGCACTCCCTTTACCTGAGTAACGGGTATCTGATAGTCGGGTCACCCGACTATAGCGTTCTCTCTTGTTTTACATGCAATTTACATATAATCAGGGATAAGCACTTCTGATGGGAACGCCATAGGATGTCTGTCTATCCGTAACTCACCGTCCTAAGTTCCTCCATTCTGTTCAATCCCACATCCAGTTTGGCCTGCAGAGCCTGTATTGAATTCGCGAAGTCTTTTTTTGTGATGAGTTCCTGCAGTTGGTTCTTCATTCCGGCCTTCAGATTCTCTTGTCCTTCCGCCGTGTCATCCTAAAGGAATCCTTAAGGGCTGTCTGCCCTGCCTCGATTTCATCCAACCTTTTTCGAATATTGCGTGAGTGGTCGAAAAGTGGGTTGAGTGCGGCCAGGCAAAAGGAGCCACACTGTGTGGGTGCATCTTGGAGAACGCACAACGATTGATCCCTTGAATTGGACGCAATTCCTCCTTGTACACTTGGAAAAATTAATAAGCCAAGCAAACAGGATAATAGTCTCAGCATCTTAAGTAGTTCGACCTGCTCAAAACGAATTTAAAAAATGTACTGACATGTAGCTGTGAGTTGAAAAAACAACGAAGCCCAAAAATTATAAAATATAATATATCCTTATCGTGGCCGTCCAAGTCTCACATCCGTCGGCCAACAACTGGATAAACTCATATCACCAAATATGTATATGTATGGACTATCGCTTGTTTGTGCTTTTAATATTAATGTCAGTACATGTTAGTTTGGAAAAAAACAAATAAGCTTTATTTTTCTTTTAATCATTTGGAAACCAAAAAAAACAGCGGTATAGTTGCATTGTTCTTCGAAAACAAATCTACAATCTGAAAATAATATTTTGCTTCGTTTATTTGAGGTTGTGTGTGCGCCAATATATTGCTAGACACTTTCTACTGGGCTTTCCAGAATCAGGAATCCAATGATTTAGTAATTCATTTGGATAATACAAATATATAGAGCATTTTTGAACTTTTGAGCGAACAACACAAAATTATTTCTGTTAATTGTCTCATTTTCAAATTTTAGACCGAAAAACATGTCCAATTTTACTCCTATTAGATTGCTACAAACAGGTAAAAATATACCTTACAATTTAATTTCATAGTACGTTGTACTGGCTATTTAAGTGCTTTAATACAATCGAGCCCACTTTTATCAAATAAAATTGATTATTACATATTATTCTCTCTCCTTGTTTAAATATTAAACGTAGTTAAATTTGTTTTTCAAATTTCCAATGAATTGGCATTCATAGCTGATGAATTTAACTTTTGCCCAATTTTCGCCAAAACCAAAAATAATGTATCCCCATGTGAAAATATCATAATCGGTCAACAATTTAATTTTTTCAAATCAACCTGAAAACGATGGTAAATTCACAAAAATAACAATAAACATATATTTTTATATAAAACAATACTGCTCATAACTAAGCAAATCTTATATTTAGACCTTGGTTTTTTAATTATACAGTGTGTTGTATTGTTTTCGTAGTCTATCCCTAAAAGTCATTGGTATTCTCAGCTAAAAAATTTTATTTTGGGTTAATTTACGCAAAAAAACATGATGTTACCCCTTATAAAAAAGCGAAGATCGCAAAAGAAATAAATTTTACCAAATACACTTCAGATTGATTGTATAGGTTCTCGGCTGCTCAAAACAGTCATTCTTTTGGCTGACTTTGAAGTTTGGCAAAATTAGAACAAAAACACTTATAACAATAAACAAATATTTTTAAAAATTAAATTTTGTTTTCTTTACTTAAAAAAATATTTTCTTTATGTTGTTTATCTCAGAAGCCACTTCATTTCAATGCCATAATATAGTTAAAAACTTGAAGGGAATTTCTTAGATTTTACAGATATATACAGAAGTATAAAGGCTTTAAAATGTATACAGCAATTGTCAAGCAAATGCGGCTTGCAATTTAATTTGTTCTCGACCATTACTAATTGTTTTGCAGACTTTCTTGGGCCCATCCTGCGGCCAGAAGGCAGACGGTAATTTTATTTATTTGGGCCAGGCACAAGTTATGGCTGCCGCAAAGTTAATTCCAGCCCGGTATCAGATAAAGTGCAAGTTGTTTTGGGCCACAGAACAGAGAACAGAGAACAGAGAACACAGTTAGCACAGAACGCAGTTGGCCAAAATCAAGTTGTTGGCCCAAAGTTTGCTACGATTTTGTGGCTCTGTGATCTCCGCTTCTCCAGGGGCCCTTACGCAATTTTCACATTGTTGACTGGCCAAGTTGGCCCGAAATTGCCATCATTTCCCACACCGCCTGACAAGACGTTAATCTCGGGCTCATTTCCATTTGCCATTTTTCTGTACCACGTTTTCGGGGTCTAGGACGGCAGCCTGATGGCCATAATTAATTACCATTTCAATTTGCATTTCCGAGCAGCCCCACCTGCAATTTGCCACCTATAATTTGCACTAGAAAAGCGGTCTTATTTTATTATTATGCAAGCGCCGCTAATCAGGCAGAAGGCAGCTGTTTCTTCTTATTATTATCTATTTTTTTTTTTTTTTGTCTTTTTTCCGGCCCGGTAAAGTGCAGCTTGGTGATGTGAAAATTGTCTGGAAATTAAAAAAAAAAATAAAAAGTGTGTCGACAAAAAAGTCAGGACTTAGATACAAAATAAACTAAGGTAGAAAATTGTGCCATCGATGCAACCAGCTGCTTGATTCCACTGGGGAACTGAGAAACTGACAGATCTTGGGCCTCGAAGAGCCCTAGAAAAAAGTGCTGTAAGGCACGCCAAACAAATGGCACAAACTGTCGGCAATTTGGAGTTGACGAGTCGACTGGCTGATGCCCTAAGATCGTGATATAAAAATGAAAGGATACAGAATGTATTAGTCCTTGTAATGTTCCTGCATGACTGGACATTTTGGGCGATCCAAAATAAAAGAAATGATATTTATAAAGATATTTGAGACAGTGTTAAATAGAATTGCAAGTCGAGTTGAAATAATATTCATGATTATTTCACTTAAAGCAGCTACAATGGCTATACAAAATCGAATGCTGGTGCAGAGTAACTGGCCTATAACAAATATGCGGCAATTATTCGCGTTATTTCAGCCGCTGACATGCAACAGTTGGCTTAACCCCCCGCTGCCCCTCGTCATGTTCATATTCATGACTGTCTTTTGGCCCCCTTTCGCCCCCTTAACCCAGCACTGTTCGCCGTCACTCTCTTTTGTGTGTGCACTTTGCACACATAACTTATGTTTAGCTGCAACTACGGCAATTTATGTGCGTGAGTGGGTGTGGGTTAAGGGGGCAGCGGAGGGTTAAGGGGGTGGCCAAGTACCAGCTGGAACTGTGCCACATTGTAAACAATGGCCCACACTCACAAACATAACTCTAACTACATTTTTGGACGCCACTCGAGTTCACTACCAAAATGCATTTTGGTCCGAAAGATGACAGACGAAACAAGGGGGGGTGTGCCAAGGGTTAAGGGGCAACGTTTTCGGAGGGTTAAGAGTACGACGGGTTGAGTTTAACTATTACATTTTTTACGTATTTTTCCACTGATTACTTTTCACCCGAAATGTTGATGTTCGCAGAATATTCGCAGAATATTTGCTGAAATTTCATTGCAAATGTCGAGAAAAAGTTTTCGGGGAAAATAGCTGGTGCTTATATTTAAAAGTAGATAAAAATTATATTTTATATTATAGATATTTAAGCTTAAATGAATTATATGTTAAAATTAATCAGGTAAAAATATTCCAAATTGAGAATAAATTAAAATAATATATAATATATAATAATATAATATAATTCACATTTTTTTTCCTAACGCCTATCTTTTCCCAATGTCAATTGGAACTTGACAAATAAAAGCATTTGTGTATAACCAGGGAAAATGGAAAATTCCAAAGAACTTTCGCAGAACTGCAGGATAAATTCGATGTATTTAAACAAAAACTAAACAGGACCATTCGTAAAAAACACATGGTTTGAATGTAGCTGGCTCCCAGAAGTTGACTGGCGGTAAAGTTCTGCCGGCCAATGAAATAAAACAGCAATAAAACGTTAAACAAAATTTAGGACAACAAACACGGAATCCGTAACAAGATGGGCGGCAATGTACGACGGGGGCGTGGCAGTTCGATGAAGCGGACAAGAAACAGGCAAATGAAAATGGGAAATGAGGCAGGATTGAAAATATGAAAAATGCATGCAGCCAAAATAGAAGTGGCAATTGGTCGAAATGGCTAAAATTGGTTACAAGTGCCAAATGTTTTTTTGGCCAAGATTGGGCAAATAAAGGATTTAACTGGGATATAACCAATTCAACAGGCTAAAAGCGGTAATAGACCTCAAAGTGTGATAGAAATTTGACCAAAAATACAATGTGCTTAATGCAAAGAGTGCAGTTTTTAAACATAACTAAAATTGTTGTGTGCATTTGGCTTATTTATTTAAATATTTATTATAAAAGCTTATATATTAAGCTTCACAATTTAGTACAACCGTTTCTTAGCTCCCAACTTATGCTTTAATTCAATAATAACTTTTATATAATGGCAATACATTGATCCACGTAATTTTTCCCTTTTCAAAAAGGCAACCGAATTCATTCGAAACCTGTGCCGAAAACGATTCCCTTTTTGCTGGGCTTCTTTTGCTGAAAAAAAGGGAGTGCGATGAGGTTTTTTTTTGTTTTTTTTTGATGGAGGGACACGTGTTCGTTGCCTTCGGAGCCTGTCAGTTCTGATGGGATAGGTATATGGGAGATGGAGGATGGTAGATGGAACACGGGAGCCCCTGTCAAACCGGTTTGAGAATCTGGACGGCGGAGTTCTTAAAGTGTCCCCTTTGTGTGTGTAGGACCGTTTAAATGGAGCAAGGAACTTCTCCAAAGGGGTCCTTTGTATTTCGAACATTTCTTTTCTATTTATTTTGACTTATTCAAGTCACAAGTTAAGATGTTCGCATGGCAACAGTGTCCAAATAAATTAGGAATACAATTAAACAATCAAAACAAGGTCGTATTTAGTTCGTCAGAGCATTTCATATTCGACTAATCGCCGAAAGCCTCTGTCCATATTTTCGCTCATCACATTTTGCGTTATTGAGGCCTTCAGTTTGGCCCGACTGCAGTGGGCAATGTAATACCTTAATGGCCCAAAGACGCTGGCCAAGGACGAAGGACTCGACGGCTTCATATTTCGATGTTATTTATGCAGCTTGGGGTCGGCTGCTGT